AGCCTATCGCTTTCTCTTGGATTATATTCTGGTTTGATAACGGTGTTACCTTCACCGGGCGCCTTTAATTTTTAGTTTGATCGATGTTTCCTTGAGAGTCAGTAAGACATATAAAGATTTATGGTATCAGCCAAACTTGAATTTACGACATCTTGTATTATTTATAATTTTTTATTTAAAAGAGCAACACGCAAGATTCCCCCTCGTTCTTCATGTGATGAGTCTTCCGAATGAGTGGTAGAATAAAAACAAATGTGACTATTCAAATGAGCTTACATTAAGTTTATTTGAATAAAGAATATTTCTATTCTTTTCTATTCTATTCTTGGGCAATTCAGCGTAGTAAAATCCTAGGCCACGGCTCCGTTAAAAATTGTTTATAAATGTTTATAATAAACAGGTGTTGTCTTATCTATTATACAAGGATTTACAACATTGATGTTATAAATAAACAGATATTTAATTTGCACTGAACGTACTTACATATATATATATATATATATATATATGAATAAACCGACTCCGAAAACTTAAAAAAAAAACTATATACTGCGCTACGGTTGCCGCTGGCATTGCACCAATGGAGGATAGGATGAGCATGAGGTCAGGTCAGTTGGCCCATTGTGTAAATTCACCAGGAATTTATCACGATGGTTTATAGGAGGAACCGCGTGGAGGTCAACCTGACTATGTACCATACATTGTTAGCAATGGGGTTATTAGTCCACATTCACTTTCCTCTCGATAATCGTTATATATAGTACTTCCATAAATAGCAACACAGACGTTACGTTATCATGTGATGGTTACCACTCATGCGTTACCATTCCGAAGAACTGAGATGTATGGCTGCATGATCTGTGCTTTCAATGCTTCATACAGAATAGAATCTTATAGTACAGTAGCTACCCGCCCCGGCTTCGCATGGGTGTACGTCGTCTGTCCTTACTAATATTATAAATGCGAAAGCAACTCTGTCTGTCTGTCTGTCTCGCTTTCACGCCAAAACTACTGAACCGATTTAAATGAAATTTGGCACGCAGATAGTCTAGACTCCGAGGAAGGACATAGACTACTTTTTAATGCGTAAAAAGGGTTGTAAGGGGTTGAAAATGGAAATGCAAGGTTATCTTTATGCGGTTGAATACAATAAAAATAAACGCTTTGTACATATCACTAAAATAGTCAGTAAAATAGTGACCTTGACCAAATAATGAAAAAATAATTGCGGAAGAAGTTGCAGGTACAGCTAGTGATACATATAAATCTTCCTCTTGAATCTCTCTGTTGCAAAAAACATCATTATAGTCCGTTGCGTAGTTTAAAAGATATAAGCGAACAGACAGCGACGACGACTTTGTTTTATACTATGTAAAAAAGTTGCTTAGTTGATTTAGACAGAGGTACCCACGTAAATGACTTTTTTCAAACTCTACGTCTAGTATATGTAGCCTATATCTTTCTTCATCTAATCTGTTATCTCTAGAACTCAGTCAATAGCATTGTCGTTACAGTGATTTAGCCATCATAAAGTAATAAACAGACTGACAGACACTAGCAATTATAAATAATAACAATACATTTTTATTGCGCACAGATAAACAAATAACAATCAAAGTACATTAAACATGTTTTACAAAAGGCGGTCTTATCGCTATTAGCAATCTCTTAGAGACAAACTGATATTGATAGACAGTAAAAACAATAAAAACATCATGACTAGGCCCCTCACTGGACACAGCAAACTAAATAAATACATGGCAAACTTTTAACTGAAATATCATCCTGATCATCAGGATGAATGGCGGTCCTCCACCGTGCGTTTTTACCAGAAACTTTTTGTCACGCACATTGTGGAATCACCTTCCATCGATAGTATTTCCGAAATGATACGATATTGAAACCTACAAGAAAAGAGCTTATTCCTTCTTAAAAGGTTGGCAACGTACTTGCATTTCCCCTGGTGTTGCGGGTGCTCATGGACGGCGGTAATTACTTGATCCGCAAGCGCGTTTGTTCCCTATGCTATAAAAGCAACTTAGTACTGTCCTTAACAGAGATTTCAGATTTTTCCAAGCTAAAGAGGCAACGCTACTATACATTCTATGTAGTTGTAGCTCACTCACATAAATGAAATATCTCCTTTGGAAAGTACACATTATCCTGAGGAGATTAAAACCATCACCCCTAAGAATGTCCTTCAAGAATTGAAGAATATTCTTAGGAGCGATGGTTTCCCTGACGGGTCCAGGCAGCGACCTCTAAAAAAGGGCCAGCACACTGTTTCTCTGTAGGTCGCAGTGCTACGGGCCTAATGCACCTAGTAATAGCCCAAATACTTTAAAGAAAAATAACCAAGATTTCGTCAAACGTTGCTTATCACGTTCACATGTCTTCGCTATACAATCAAATCAAATTTTATTAAGTTTTATTCAGCGGTTTAGTCATGAAAAGGTAACAAACAAACACATTCGGATTTAAATAATAGTATGAATTATTAAACAGATTATAATATTGCAAGCGTTGAGTCATTTTATTGGATTGCTGTTATACATACATAAATTTAAATCTCTTCAATATGATAAGATATACACTCATAGATAAATCGGTTTATCTTGTCGGCAAGAGAATGTGAAAAGTGATTGATAACCAAGTTTCTCGCAGGCGCGACTGCTTCTTAGGCAGTGCTGTTTTTTGTGATTTTTTATGACAAGGGAATAAAACATCTTGCGGTTCGCGTGATGGTAAGAGATTACCGCTGTACCTGAGCACCCGCAACACCAGGGAAATTGCGAGTGCGTTGTCTGCCTTTTCAGAAGGAACAAACTCTTTTCTGGAAGGTTTCAATATCATATCTGTTCGTAAATTCCATTGCTGGAAGGTGATTCCATAATGGGATTGTGCGTGGTTGGTTTGTTATACCCGTTTTTGCTAGTATACGCTGGTTGCCCGACTAGTCGAGGATGATAGGATGAGCATAAGGTCAGGTAAGTTAGCCCATCGTTGTGAATTCACTTGGAAATAATCCTTTTGGATTCTAATGGGGATTGCATGGAGACCAACTAAATTGCTAGCAATGAGGTCACGAGTTTCCATGACTAATAATCCCTCCTCAACGTCGACAGTTGACAATGACTCTGACTACACCCCACCTAGGAGGGGGGAAAGGGGATTGTTAGTAATGTGGATTGATTATCTTATTACTAGCAATGTATGGTACATTGCTACCTTGCTGTCAGGTTTACCTCCACGCGGTTCCCCTTGGAAACCATCGTGATAAATTCTTGTTGAATTTGGCTTGGCTTGGCTTGGCTTCAGTTGACTTGAACTTGGCTAACTGACCTCATGCTCATCCTCCACTGGTGCCCCGCCAGCGTAAACCGTTAGCGCAGGCGGGTGCACCATTCCATTATCATCTATAAAAAAAATACCCCACCTAGGATAATAGTTGTGACATTGTTTTTCTCAAACTTAATATTTAAATGAATAGTAAGTATCAGTTGCCTACAGGACCAAAGCTTTGACAATCTAGGCACATATCTAGGGCCCGTAATTTAAAACTATCAAACGCAAAGTATTCATGCCTGAAGAATAGGCCGCAATTACAATGTTGTCGGGGGCCATAGGTTTTTGTCACTATTTCTTATGTGACAACCAAAAATCATAGTACCTACCCCGACAGAAATCTGGTCACCAAACAGTCAACAAAGCAGCTTCAAAACAATGTATATATTATATATCCAAACTCAGTTTATTGGCTGATTATTCTATTCCTAGTATCGAGGCGAAAGATATGACGCAATATAGGTATATATAAACAGTAATGGTTAGAAATTGATTACTAATAGGGAAATTCATAACGCTTTCATCAGCGGTGGTCAGTTATCCGCATTGAAATTTTGTGGTTTTACACATGATAATAATAGCATTATTCAACAAAATAATACAAATCCATTAAGCGACTAGTCTTCCTTATATATATATATATGAGGTGGAGAGCTGATATGAGGAGGAGAGCTGATGTAATATTGTAGAAAAATAAAGTTTATGTAACATTGTAGAAAAATAAAGTTTATTTTTCTACAATATTACATCAGCTATCTGCCAATAAAAGTCCCGTTAAAATAGGTCCAGCCATTTCAGAGATTAACCGGAACAAACAGACAGACAGAGAAAAATAGTAAAAAATGTTATTTTGGTGTATGTACCGTATTTATATTCATATGCATGTAGTAAAAAACGGTTATTTCAATATTACAAACAGACACTCTAATTTTATTTATATAATATACATATATATTCCTCTCCAGATAACATAGATTTAACTTCAGTTTAAAATCAGTCTATGTTCCGATTCCGCGTCGAATGTACGCGTTACTAATAAGCCATGTAGTACACTACCAAATAAACTTACTAATGTACAGTAAAAAGTACAATTATTCTACCTCTGTACTCACTACCTACACACTATAATAAACTAATATATTATGTAGCGACACCGCATCATATTTATATATATTTATATTATATATATAAACTACTATGATAAGCATATTATAGATGTCATAAATTTGTTGAAATATTGTTATGATAGGTATAAAATTATTCTATTGTTTTATGTTACAGGAAATCCATTTTTTCCTCTTTAATCCTGTACTTCCATTTTCATTCCAAAATAATTCTTCCAAACTAATAATTATATATTACAAACAATGACATATATACCATTCCAAAAATATATTATTAATTGACATATATCATATATTAATCTTATTTTTAAACGCTATTTACATAATTGTATGTCATAGTAAATTGACATCGTGGATCCAATCGAATCGCCACTTGTACCCCATACGTTGGAGCAACTTGATCCCGTAATACCCGGGATCAACCCCAACCATTTTGTGTCGCCAACTCGGACAGTCATACACCAGTTTGGCGTGCCAATCAAAACGAGTCGTGACCGTTGTACATTCTCATACCCGTCACGATGTTCTGACACAAACATGAGTTCATCCCCAGTATTGGAACCCTCGTCCCCGTCAACCACACCCTCATCCCCTGCGCTGAAGGCGGACTGCGTGCAATTCCACACGTCGACACCAAACTACATTGGAAAGGTATGTTGGTGATAATGATAATGTTCTTATATAAGATACTAGCTACTCGCCCCGGCTGTGCCCGGTGTACATGTATTATACATATAAACCTTCCTCTTCAATCACTCTGTCTATTAAAAAAAATCGCTTCGAAAGCCGTTGCGTAGTTTTAAAGATTTAAGCATACATAAGGACAGACAGACAGCGACAGCGACTTTGTTTTATACTATGTAACAAGCTGTTCTCGCGAATTCGTCCGCGTGGAATTTAACTTTATGATTCTAAAATAAAAGAATTTTTCTAAAATAAAAGTAGCCTAAGTTACTCCTTATTACATCAGCTACCTGTCAAAAAAAGTCCCGACAAAATCGGTCCAGCCATTTCAGAGATTAGCCGGAACAAACAGACACAAACATAGATATAATATGATATTATATGATAGAACGATTCAAGAGCAAGGTGTACATCTTGCTTTGTTATTGCTAAAAACTGCATTAAAATCTGTTACATGGTTAAAAAATCTAAGAAAAAACAACGGAAACGACTTAATTATATACTATGTAAAGATATTATATTCTAACGGCGGAGTACACGCTTTACTTGCGATGGACGCGGGTTTGATTCCTCGTACATTACAAATATTTGTACACGGTTTCATTCGCGTAAAATTTATAGTCTATATGTTATTCTGATAAGCTATATTACTGTAAAGTTTCACCAAATCCATTTAGTAGTTTTTGCGTGAAAAAGTAACAAACATCCATCCATAGTCAGAAACTTTCGCGTTTATAATATTATTAAGATAATGTTTTATGTTACAGAAGCAGCATCAACCCCCTCTTCACGTCGTGTTGCCGTCCACTGCACCGGCGACTCCACCTATTTACGGTACTTATGAAGTATTACTAGCTGTGTCCGCGCCTTGACCAAATAAAAAAAAATCTAACACAATGAAGCCAACGAAAAAAGATTCATCGTTATAGCTTCAAAAGAGACGATTTCCCATACAAACTTTCATCTCCTTTTTTACCTCATTAAGGGTAACATTGTTACAAACTTTGAATGTCATATTTATTTATATTTAATCAACAGCCTAAAAAATAAGTTTCAAGCTTTAAAAATCTAACTTCCATACAAACTTTCATCTCCTCTTTCAACTCCCTTGCAACTCTTTTTTCGCATTAAAAGTAGTCTATTTACTTTCTCAGGGTCTAGACTATTTGTTTATCAAATTGAATAAAAATAGGCTCAGTAGTTTTGGCGTTATAGCCCCATGTATGTGACTCTCACACGCATATATACTCTTTTGTTTATTGTTGAAGTCTGTGGTCAAATTGAGAATAGATTAACATTGGGGACCTGTCTGTTCAGGTTACGAACACTGATTAGACTTTTTGTTTTGCAATAGCACATGCTGGTGGTCACTCTATTTTCCCAAATTTGAATTTATAATGAATCAGTATTATTGTAAACATGTTCAATATTTTTTGAATAAAAAATACATGCTGAGTTTCTTATGTCTTCCATCTCGATATCTCGAACTGACGGTAGATTTGACCATAATTTCTTTTAAATAGGTTCAGTAGTTTTGACGTGAAAGCGACACAGACAGACATAATTACTTTCTCATTTATAATATTAGTAAGCTAGTAATATTTCGACCACTGAGCGAGCACTAGTAATTTAAAGGTGTGGCCTGACTGATGGATTTATGATCGCAAAGGTAAGGCAGTTCGGTTGTGTAAACAGCTAGTTAAATTGATCTAGTTATTTGTTTACTTAAGTTCATGACGCAGTTTCAATACGAGGCTGAATTACAGGCCGTGAATAGTTTAGGAATAGAGTGATATAAAACTCTCTCTATTTATTACATTTAGATAGCAACATACATTTTTTATTAATTAATTACAGACATAGCATAGTGAAGTCATAGAAAAAATGTGCATTATGCCACTGAGACAAAATCTGCGTAGGTTTAGAAACAGTTTTTTTAATTTAACCTTGGTATTTTTTTTATTTTTATGTAATTGGAAAGTCAAAATGACGATTTGATGGTAAGTGGTATCCTTCTTTTTTATGGATGATAATGGAACAGTGCACTTGCCTTCGCTAAAGGTTTACGCTGGTAGGGTATCAATATAGTATATATATTAGGTCAGGATATTAGGTTATGTAGGTTAGGATATTAGGTCGTCAGCATGAAGAGCAGATCAGTTAACACATCTTGGCAAATAGAATTTTACCTCGCACTCCACAACTGAATTACAGCTTAAAAAGTAAGTTGCGTATGGCTGAAATAGGTAAATCAGTGAGTATTGATCACCTCAACATGACGCCGTCCTCGCCGGCAAGTACGTTGACCCCAAAATGTTTTCATCGGAAAATATTGCAGTGTTTTAATTACTACGTTATATTGTAGGGGAGCCGACTCTGACGCCGCCGCCTCGGTCACCAGCAGCTACCGTCGCCACACCAGCGTCAGGAGACGGTCGTAACCATCCGCCTGACGGCACATCCTCGGATAAGGTGAGCTCCTATAATTTGTTTATACCATGTGCGCTGTAGCATGGTGCGGTTGACAGTTTCATTAACGTTTCGTTTCACTCTTGAAAGTTGCCGCGATTTACAAATTATGACTTAGTATTTCAGCTGCACCACATTCGTAATATATTAAACCACTAATGACTGTATTAACTTAAATGTAGTAATTGTTAAATGTAAAATTAGTAAATGTCACACCCCATGCTACAGCGCATATACATAGGAAAATATCTAATAAAATGACACAAACATATGTATTCATGAGTGTTTGTATTTGTCTGTATGTTTTCTATGTATATATATTTTTTAATTCATGATAATAGAACGGCAACTGCTACGCTAACTGTTGACGCTGGCGGGGCACCAGTGGAGGATGATGTTATGAGTATGAAGTCAGAAGATTGTCAGTCCATCGTGACAAATTCACCAGGAATTTATCACAATGGTTTCCTGAGAGAAGCGCGTGGATGTCAACCTGATATGGTACACTGCCAGCAATGGGTTAATTAATCCACATTAATAACAGTCTCCTTTCCCCTCCCTATGTATATTATGAATATATTTAAAGAAAAATGTATTTAAGTATTAAGTTATACATCAGTTGTTTAGTAGTACCCATAACACAAGTTTAGGGGGGGAAGGGGATTGTTAGTAATGTGGACTTATGACCTCATCACTAGCAATGTACCATGTCAGTTTGACCTCCACTCGGTTCCCCCTGGAAACCATCGTGACAAATTCCTAGTGAATTTGTTACGATGGGCTAACTGACCTGACCTCATGTTCATCTTATCATGCTCCACTGGTGCCTCGCCAGCGTAAACCGTTAGCGCAGGCGGATGCACCATTCCACTATCATTCACAAAAAAAAACACAGGTTTTTGATTTATTTGAGACTATATGGCGCTGTGTGTTATTATATTATATATATATATATATATATATATATATATTCACCGGGGCGAGTGTAGATGGCACTCCAAACCCGCGGAATGACTTGTGGAGCGGGGTTGTAGTCATCTCGTTATTTACTCCTTTCTAACTATATCATCTTTCACACATACACAAAAATATCTCTGTATTTGTCGCTGGGTTATTGTAATGTGTATGTTTTTGTTTAAACAATTACTTATCCATTTATAATTGTAAAAATATCTCTATATTTGCTACGCAGTCTTCAGAAACAGCCGTCGGTACACCACGCGCGGCAAACACGGCCCTATCTCGCAAAGAAAGTTACAAAGCACAACGGCAGCACTACAGAAGAGAAAAGAAGAGAGCGGCGTCCGCGCTGCTGCACTCTATAGAAGATCCCTCGGTCGTTGTTCTATCAGATTGGTTGAAGGTATTTGCTATTTTTATTTTGTGCCAGATATTACCCGCGACTTCGTCCGCGTGAAATTTAACTTGTAAATATATAAAATTTCAAAAATAAAAGTAGCCTAAGTTGCACCCTATAATATTACCTATCTGTGAGTGAAAGTCTCGTCAAAATGAGTCCAATCGTTGCAAAGATTAGCAAGGACAAACAGACAGTAGACAAGTACTTTAAATATATGAAAATGTTTTTATAGTTTAAAAACATTTTTCTGACATTCGATTATGTATATTATTGCGATGTATTACCGATACGATATTGAAAACTTCAAGAAAAGAGCTTATACCTTTTTAGGCCGACAACGTACTTGCAATTCTTCTGGTGTTGCGGGTGCTCATGGGCGGCGGTAATCACTTACCATCAGGTGAGCCGCAAGCTCATTGTCCCCTGTGTTATAAAAAAAAGTATTGTAACATTACTTCGTTTCGGAGTTTATCAAGAGATGTTTATTTTTTTTTTACTTTCAGGTTCGAGGTTCCCTAAAGTCATGGACGAAGTTGTGGTGTGTCCTGAAGCCAGGGTTACTGCTATTGTACAAGAGCCCTAAAGCTAAGGTGAATTTCGTGGTAAAGCATTTTTGTTTTTTTTTCTTTGTGTTATTGTGAATGTTTAAACGTTGTTTATTTCTGACTAGCTGTTCCCGCGACTTCGTCGGTGTGGAATTTAACTTTAATTTTCTAAAATAACAGTCTACTTCTAAAATAATTCAAATATGAATAATTTCCTCGTTTTTGCAACTTTTTTCACTGATGCTTCGGTTCTATTGGTCGTAGCGTAATGTTATATAGCTTAAAGCCTTCCTCGACAAATGGACTATCCAACACAAAAATATTTTTTCAATTCGAACCAATAGTTATTGAGATTAGCGCTTTCAAACTGTAATTGTGCACGACGTACCTTCTTAGACTTTTATTGTACTTTTTATATATATTAAAAATCCATTTTCAATTGTTCTATTATTTGTCACATTTAAAAAATATATATCTTTTTACCATCAGCGACCGTAGTTTCTCTTAAAACTAAAATTAAAATATATATTAAAAATACAGTCCTTAGAAACATTAATAATTAAAAGTAATAATTGAAACATCTCTTGCTCTCAAATACCACCTGGAGTGCTTTTATTAGCCGACAAACAGTTGATCATGATACAACAGTTATTTATACCGCTACAAGTTACAACTACCTACTTATGACAGTTATATAAACTACCTTATTTTAACCATATATTACACAAACAAACTCTTCAGTTTTGTAATTTTAGTATAGATTAATATTATATTTAACCGTCTGTAATGTTTTCTGTACGTACAGAGCAGTCACTGGGTGGGCACGGTGCTACTGACGTCGTGCCAAGTGATAGAGAGGCCGAGCAAGAAGGACGGCTTCTGTTTCAAGTTGTACCACCCTCTGGAGCAGAGCATCTGGGCACCTAGGGGGCCACACAACGAGACCATAGGTCAATAATAATAATAATATTCCGATATAGTAATAATAAGATAAAATTAATCATATAAAAGAGCAGCACGCAAGTTACTTGCTTGTTCGTCTTATGATAAGGCATCTTTCAGAATGAGCGGTTGATTAAAAAAAATAAGTAATGACTATTCAAAAGTGCTTGAATGTTAATTTAATTAAATATATATCATATACCACCTTTAAGTAATGATGATGGTGGGCAGGTGCGATGGTGCAGCTGCTGCTGCGCTTCGCCAGCGTGGAATTTAACTTTATTTTTCTAAAATAAAAGTAGCCTAAGTTACTCCTTATTACATCAGCTACCCGTCAAAATCGGTCCAGCCATTTCAGAGATTAGCCGCATATGAATATAATAAAAAACGGTTATTTTAGTATTACAAGCAGACACTCCATTTTTATTTATATGTATAGATAACATTAATTCAACATACAAGTTTCTTGCTCGTTTTATTGTGATGAGCCTGCGTTCCGAATGAGGTGGAACCAAAAACATATGACTATTTAAAAGTGCTTATATTGATATTATTTCTATTTCTATTATATTGTGAGTTGTTAAGTCAATGATGTCATGTCGGTGATGATGATGTCCAGGTGCGGTGGTGCAGCCGCTGCCGACGGCGCACCTGATCTTCCGCGCGCCCTCACAGGCAGCAGGACACTGCTGGCTCGACGGACTCGAGCTGGCCCTGCGCTGCACTAATGCTATGCTCAGGTACTCACGCGCACTAATGCTACACCAACGCCATGCTGAATTACTCACCGCGTTAGTGGTACACCCACGCCATGCTCAGGTACTCACGCGCACTAGTGTTGTCTCAATACCATGCTCAGGTACTCACGCGCACTAGTGTTGTCTCAATACCATGCTCAGGTACTCACGCGCACTAGTGTTGTTTCAGTAACATGCTCAGGTACTCACGCGCACTAGTGGTGCCCCATTGCCATGCTCAAGTACTCAGGCGCACTAGTGGTACCCGATGCCATGCTCAGGTACTCACGCGCATTAGTGTTGCCCCAATGGCGTGCTAGTGCGCGTGAGTACTTGACTCACGCGCACTAGTGTTGTCTCAGTGCCATGCTCAGGCACTCACGCGCACTAGTGCTGTCCAATGCCATGTTCAGGCGAACATATATAACATATATACACTTTGTTTATTGTTAAATTCTGTGCTCAAATTGAGATTAGATTAATATTGTTTGTCATTAATATCATCTGTCTATAGTCTTACCGAATGTAATGAATGAACTTATAATTTAAATTATTTGTGGTCGAAATTCAGTCAAAAAATTGTACCTAAATTACTTAAATTATAATAAATAATTTAATTGTATTGGTGTAGATGTTCCCGGTCTCGACCAGAGCAGACCGTGGCAGCGGAGGCGCCCGCTACGCAGACCATCTCTCATGAGGAGCTGGAGATGCACTTCAACGAGCACGGTCAGTACCACTACCACATTTTACCACCATTTTTTATGGATGATAATGGAATGGTGGTCCCGCCTGCGCTAGCGGTTTACGTCGGGCGCCAGTGATAGGATTAGCATAAGGTTAGGTCAATTCACTAGGAATTTATCACGATGGTTTTTTTTATGGATGATAATGTAATGGTGTACCCGCTAACTGATGACTGCGCTAACGGTTCTCCCTGGCGGGGCACCAGTGGAGGGCGAAAAGATGAGCATGAGATTAGATCAGTTTGCCCATCGTGACAAATTCACTAGGAATTTATCACGATGGTTTTTTTTATGGATGATAATGTAATGGTGTACCCGCTAACTGATGACTGCGCTAACGGTTCCCCTGGCGGGGCACCAGTGGAGGGCGAAAAGATGAGCATGAGATTAGATCAGTTTGCCCATCGTGACAAATTCACTAGGAATTTATCACGATGGTTTTTTTTATGGATGATAATGTAATGGTGTACCCGCTAACTGATGACTGCGCTAACGGTTCCCCTGGCGGGGCACCAGTGGAGGGCGAAAAGATGAGCATGAGATTAGATCAGTTTGCCCATCGTGACAAATTCACTAGGAATTTATCACGATGGTTTTTTTTAATGGATGATAATGTAATGGCGTACCCGCTAACTGATGACTGCGCTAACGGTTCTCCCTGGCGGGACACCAGTGGAGGACGGTAAGATGTGCATGAGGTCAGGTCAGTTTGGCCATCGTGACAAATTCACTAGGAATTTATTATGATGGTATTTTGTTGGATGATAATGGAATGGTGCACCGACTGCACTAACAGTTTACACTGCTACCAGTCGAGGATGGATAGGATGAGCATGAGTTTCGTTGCTCGTGACAAATTCACTAGGATTAGGAAAAATCATGAGATCTTACCTAGTTTTATTTATTTTGATTGAATTATAACATACAAACATCGTTACCATTAAAAATAAATAAAACGTGGTAAGATCCAGTGATTTTATTCTAATGGTACATATCAAACACAGTCACATTTAAAACAATATATAGAAATTTACCAGGATGATTTCCTGACCGCGTGGAGGTCAACCTAACTTGGTATATTGCTAGCTATGGGGTCACGAGTCCACATTACTAATAATTCCCTTCCCCCTCTTACATATAATTATATATTACGTATATTTAAAGAATGTAAATAAGTGTTTGTGTCAGTTGTCTAGTACCCATAATAAACCTATGTTTAGCTTGAGACTAGATAGCGCTGTGTGAATTGTCCAGGGCTATTATTATTATTATTATTATTATTATTTATTATTGTTTTTTTTTATATTATTTTTTTCTCGACTTCGCCGGTGATCTTGGTATGTACGGGCCTAAGCCAAGTACATAACAATGTTCTATCTTAGGTGGATATACCATAATACAAATGTAGGCCTAATCTGTCTGTAGAAACTTTCTAACAATGCGGCATGTGTTTAGAACTACAGCCTTCTGTAGTTGCCAGTATATATTATTGTATATATATAGCCTATGTGTTATTCCGATGTATAAGCTACATTACAGTAAAGTTTCATCAAAATACGTTTAGTAGTTTTTACGTGAAAGAGTACAAACATCCATCCAACTCTAGCGTTTAAAATATTTCTTATTAATAAGAAATATTCGATATTTGTATAAATAAGTTGGTGATTTTTTACCTTAATACTAATAATTATAATTGTTTTCAAAATTTAGCAATAATTACATTAATTACATATAATAAGGTAAATTCTAAATTTTCTAATATGTATATTATCACCCGTTCAATCCTTACGCACTGTATGCTAATTTGTAAATGCTAAATAAACTATTTTATAATAACTATAATGCTAAATTATAAATAATATACTATTCCTATGAACAACACCATCGTCTTTATAAAACTATATTGTTAATGATTTAATAATATAAATGTACACAAATATTCTTTCCCAATTTATCAATATTTTAAAATTTACCTTCTATGACTGGCTACTTAAAAAATAAATGAGTATTCAATGATTTGTGGTTATTTTAAACCGAATTCTGTGATAACGTTGTATTATGTTCGGTTTTTGACAAAGTAATGCCTATTTTCTTCATAATACTGGACTATGAACGTCTGAATTTACTATATACTTATACAATTCATTTCAAACTAAAACATATTAATACCATAGTACTGAAAATGTCACAGACATTATGTAGCAACTCACCAACACCTATAATGTCCGTATCGGATTATTCACCAAAGAAAAATCTAGAAAAATCATATGTAACTAAAAAGAAACCCGTCAAAACATCAAAGTGGGCGCAATTCGTAGATACAATCGATGTTCTGGCGAAAGAACATGACGTATCGAGCGATTCTGACGAGAAAAGAGACGGAGGATTCCTAAATTTCTTGAGGAAGAAAGAGATAGATCGCAACGCACCGTGTACATCATCTGTCAGGGTTGCCAGCACTTCGAAAGATTATAAAAAGCCTAGCAAAAGCATTGCATCCAGTCCTTCGAGATTAGAGAGAAGAACGCCAATATTGAAGTGTTTTGATTTGCCGAAATTGACATTTGACAAGAAGAATGTTAAAGAAAAATCAACAACGACAAATATTCTAGAAGATAATCTCGTTAAATTCATCTCTGCCTTTCCGAAACGTAGAAGTTCGACGCCGACGACGTACAAATCGTTCACACAGAAACGTATAAGTGAATTGAGAGAATCAGGCGTTAAGACTGACTCCGAGAATGATGATTATTTACAGAGCGATTTATCTAATCGTAGAAGGTTGAAAGATTCGGAAGTTATATGCGACACCCCTGAAAATATATTAATAACTAAAACAGCGCCATCTGTTGAGACATTTGGGAGGTATAGTACATCTTCGACTGATGATTGCGGTCATAAGAATTCCAACAGGTATATTTATTACTTTTAAATTCAGTCCTCTTACGATATATCTAAAGTTGTAATTACTTTGAGCGTAAACTACCAGATTCATGAATATTTAAATAACTATAAGAAACATAGTTATCACGGCCTGTATGTATTCCTAATGAATTTATTGCGTATCCAATCATCATATCAGCCCGGAAGACGTCCACTTCTGGACATAGGCCTCCCCCAAGGATCTCTACGACGATCGGTGCTGCGCTGCTCGCATTCTTCGCCTTCCAGCAATCTTGACCAGATCGTCGTATCGTACCCAATACCGTTCATAAAACGCAATCTTTTGCTTTACATTTCTTTTCACGACGTTGCTTCTGCTTCCCTTACGTCACCAATAGGCACAGGAAAATTGATGACTGAAGTTTTCCTTGAAGATATAAGGGCATTTTTTTACAATTGTAGTTTACGGAGGGCATGATGAGATGTTATTACGGCTTAATCAATTATGATGAAGTTTATCATACATGTATCATTTTGTACTGAGAAATGTTGGCTACATTTTTGTCCCGGTCAATCATGAAAATGATGACGCGGTTGATGTGAGCGAAGTATTACTTAATAATTATGATTAAGACCTGTGAATAATAACTTTTATTGATGATTGTTATTGATGATGAATGAGACTGCTATCATGATTGTGCAATAAGGACTCATAGGACAGTGACAAAATAGTTACACTGTTTGGTGTTTTTTATCAATAAAAGTTTAAACGATCTCGGTGAGTCAGCGGTATAAAGCCTTACTTCTGACGATCGCGGAGTCGATTCCTCCAACAGTACAAAGAGAGTATTATTCTTTGTATTGGTCTGGGTGTTTTCTGTGTACCTATATTATGTATGTATTTACAGAAAATAGATATCTAAGTATATCTACCAGTTGTCTAGTAACCATAGCACAAGCTCTGCCTAGCTTGGGACTAGATGGCGCTGTGTGAATTGTCCAGGATATTATTATTATGTTGTGATTAATTGTGCCAAATCACAGAATTAGTTTTTTTATATTGGACTAGCTGTTCCCGCAACTTCGTCCGTGTGGAATTTATCTTTATTTTTCTAATAAAAAAGTAGCCTAAGTTACGCCTTATTACATCAGTTACCTGCCAAAAAAACGTCCCGTCAAAATCGGTTCAGTCATTTCAGAGATTAGCCGTAATAAACAGATAGACAAAAATTGTTAAAAATGTCATTTTGGTGTATGTACCGTATTTATATTCATATATATATATAGTAAAAAACGGATATTTAAATATTAAAAACAGACACTCCAATTTTATTTATATGTATAGATCTTTTTTTCGGACTACTCTAATGCTGTTGGCCGCAGCTGGCGCTTACAGCTTCACCGGACGATAGGGGGCGAGTGCAGATGGCACTCCAAACCAAAGGAAGGACTTATGGAGCGGCTGAAGACCAACTCCCGCCTGACTGATACGACTTTAGTCTGAGGGCACCACTAGGGATTCGAACCTCGGCTCAGGCCGCCATAAACGGTCCACGTTTGAATTGGACGGGGGATCGATTGGAGGGGATTTTTTTGTGGATGACAATGAAATGGTGGTCCCGCCTGCGCTAACGGTTTACGCCGGCAGGACACCAGTGGAGGATGATAAGATGAAAATGAGGTCAGGGTCAGTTAGCCCGTCGTGACAAATTCACTAGGAATTTATAACGATGGTTTCCAGGAGGAACCGCGTGGAGGTCGACCTAACATGGTACATTGCTAGCAATGGGGTTACTAGTTCCCATTACTAACAATCACCTTCCCCCAATCGGAGGAGTTATAGATGTATAGATGACTCATACAGATGAGTCAGATGTTACGCCGGTTTCGTACGGTCGTGGGTTCGACAAATGTCTCATTCAAGGTGTAATCCGTAACCCTATTTTAGGTTATCACCACCATACAAATCTCATACACCGACACCGTGTCATACACCGGAGAAATATTCTTTAATTGACTATGGAAAATTACCATCGACCAGTTTAGATGCTATAAAATTACAAAAGACAGACGAAAGGATAACATCTCAGAATTTCTATA